TATATCTATTTTGAGATATATGTACATATATAAACATATATATATATATGTGTGTGTGTGTGTTTGTTTGTTTGTATATGTATATGTGTGTTTGTATATGTATGTGTGTGTGTGTAAGCAAGTTCATAAAACTGAACTGAACACTATGGTATCCAAAGAGTGTGTTGCATGGTAATTATGTGTGTCATGCATATTTGCCAGATTGTAACCTGGTCCGTTCCTGATTAATGAACAATACTACTAACACTCGAAAAATAAACATACACCATGAGCCTAACAGCTATAAAACTATGCTTATTATTTGAGATGTGATTGTATCTATCGGTATTATATATCTGGATACCATAATCTTCATAGTACTCTGCCTTTAGGCAGAAGGAGAGATATAATATCATTTAATATACAATATCATTTAGTATACAATATCATTTGGTATATACTGCACCTTGTGCGGTACATACCTTCGTCACTCTCGTCACTTCCCAGATGAAACATGATGCAACAGAAAAGTGTCAGATAACTCGAATCATATAGTTTGTGCTTGAAAAGTACTCGTATGTGCGCCAATCAGCATCTTTGAACTTTCCCCCGGTCACCGCTGCAATTTGAACGGCATAGAAAACATTCCTAACTGTCCAAGATACGAAGAATTGTACGCTTTGAGTATGCGCACAAGACAGTACGAATAAGAGAATGTTCTTGTGATATGTATCTACCGCTAATATGCTAACAATACACACATATACATCTACATACATACATATGAGTACAGATGTAATTGCACCTACAATACATACATATGTGTACAGATGTAAGCTTGTGTGTGTGATATATTGTGTGTCGGATTTGTCTAGTTTATCCACAGAGGGGTATTATTTGACCGATATTTCTTTTCAAATCTTTTACCTTTTATTTAGTTGCGTTCGACAATATAAGTAAATATTTTTGAAAAAACCAAAACAAAACAATGACTATGTATTGCATCATCTTGCGAATTTTTACAGGAGGGGTATTTATAAATAAAAGTATATTGTGCGTTTTTTTTAAAAATATTATATATTATATAATTATGTAGGGCCACAGGCTATAATAATTATATATTTATTAAAATATGTCTGTGACTGTCGTCTGATTTATGACTGTTCACTGTTCAGCTGTTGTTCAAGCCAGTGACCTGTTCTATTATTTATGTTCTCTATTTTTTTTAGGTCGCTTACAAGCAGTTTCAGATATGGACTATTACACACGAGAGTGTACGTGCATTTTTAGTATTTTTTTTTAAGGGTTTTTGGGTTTTTATACCTGATTCACAATTAACTAAATAAGGCTTCTCGCAGTTCATGGTGTCAACAAGCACTCGCTTCGTAAGTATTTAAATGCCTAACACGCATTGATATCAAACTAAAGTGTACCTCACATTTAACTTCCTATATAGAGTTAATAATCATTCGTCCATAATGAGCGTTGAACTACTTGAGTCCGCCAAGAAACAGGCTGCATTTGCCGCAGTCGACGAGTTTGTTACGGTATGTGTTGAATGTAATGCGCACACTAATACCCTTGTGTGCATACTAGTAGCCTTGTGATGGTATACAGAGCAGAGAAACCCTGCAGGTACATAAACAGACATAATCCATATGTAATCTGATATCCATCGAGGAAAAGAAGACAACTATTCATCCATATATATATATATTTATATGTGGAAGTAATAGTCTTGATCTATCATCACCCACCATTGTTCAAATCTATGTAAATATATAGGAGATTTTCCGGAAGGGTGTGTGCCGATCTACACGTGTGTGCACAATATACATGTACAAGTTTATATATATAAATGTTATTATCACTACAGT